TATGCATATTATTGACCTAAGTTTAATTTTTCTGCTATATCAAAATGAATGTGAATAGCTTTGTAAGCAAAGCCTAGGATTCACAGTCCTCATATTATTAATAATTCATGAATACAGTCTTCCAATTTTGTTTATCAAGTGACTGGAATGGATTAAAATAGCTTATCCATATTTTTATCAACTAATATTAAATAGAAGATAGAATATAACATAGAAAAAATGATATGAGATGATTTTAAAATAATTCATTGAAAATCAAAAAAAGACAACTAACCTATTTCCTAATAATAGTAAAGAACAATAATGATACTAGTATGACTCAGTATTTTATTATCTTAGGGCTTCAACATACAAATGTATTAACTTGCCACAGGCCACTGATAACTGCCGTAATCTACTTTTTCCCACAGAAATAACAACTGTCCTAAGTTTTTGTCAGTCATTGTCTTACTTTTCTTTATTATTTTTACCACTTGTGTTTAAGTGCTAAATATGTTATTGAATTTTATTTGCATATTATGTAAATAAAATTATGTAGTATATCTTTACATATATATTTAATACATCTTATATTTACACACTTACATACTACACACACACACACACACACACACACACACACACAAACACATTTATTCTGCCTAATATTAAGTTTTTGCAATTCAGTTGTGTTGATTCATGATTCTTTAATGTCAAATACAATTTTACCTTATGAATATATCTCAGTACATTTATCTTTTCTACAATTGTTACTATTAACAAGGATATCATAAACCTTCTTATTTGTGTCTTATGGTAAACATGTGCAAGACATAAGCTAGGATATGTGCTTAGAAGTGGAGTTATCAGATGACTGGATTAAGTTCATGTTAGTTTCCACAAGGTAATATAGAACTACTTCTCTATAGCAGTTTTAGCAGCTGATTTGTTTTTTCAAAAACAACATTTCCAATATTTGGTTTCTCAGAGTATGTTTTCATAAACTAGTGGATGAGATGATATTTCAGTGTTATTTTCAGCACAGATTTTTCTGATTTTTACAAACATTTCAGCATATATTTTGTGTCAAATATCTTCTCATGTCTTTTAACTTTTTTCCTATTACGTTTCTCTTCTTAATTTGTAAGGAATACATAGATATTCTAAAAAATATTCCATGCAAGTTTTACTCTAACCAATTTCCTCCAATCAATATTTGCCCCCAATCAAATCTTTTCATTTCAATGTCTTTTCAGTACGTCTTGATAAATAGAACATTTTACTGATTATATATTTGATACATCAGCCTATTTTTTTCTGGTTATATCTGTGTGACCAGAAGTTACAACTGTAGATATACAATTTATTTTCCCATAATTTTTGCTAAAATAGTCCAAATTTTACCTTTCACATTTATGATTATAATTCAACTGTAACCGAGTTTTGTAAATGGAGATAGGTAAGATCCATTTTATCTTTTTGCATATAGAAAATCAGCTCTCCCAGCACATTTTATTCAATAGTCCATCCATTTTCTACTGATGTGTAAAGTCCAATTTATCACAAATGAGGTTTCTATATACCTTTGAGTCTTTTTTAGGTTTTCTCTTCAATGAGACCATTATCCATGTATCATTTTGTATAAAAGATCAATTATAACTTTGCAAATACATGAAATTAATCATTTATATTCTACCCATCTCATTGATGCACTTAAACATATTTTTATGTTCAGGGTTTTTTTTTTCTCTCTCTCTTTTAATCAGGAGAGTTAACCAGGTTGTCTCACTAGAAATAGGGAAGGTAGTAACATGATTTTATTATTCTTAAATTACATGTGATATTTAAATCTGAAGAAAAATTTATCAGTTGCTTGCAATTTGCCAATAGTTTGTAATCTTTAATTTTGGATGAGAAAAATCATTGGTTACTGCTACAGTTTGGACACCTGCCCCCTTCAAACCTCATATTGAAATCTGATTCTGAATGTTGAAGAAGGGACCTAATGGGAGGTGTTTGGGTCATGGGAGCAGATGCCTCATGAATAGATTAATGCACTCCCAGGGTGGAAGTGAGTGAACATAATTCACTCCATGACTTCTCACAAGAGATGGCTGTTACGAGTCTGGCATCTCCCTCCTTGCTCTTTCCTGCTTCCTCCCTTGCCATGTGATCTCTGCACATACTTAAACACTTTGCCTTCCACCATGAGTTGATGCAGTCTGAGGCTTCACCAGAAGCCGATGCTGGTGCCATGTTTCTTGTACAGCTTGCCGAGGTGTGAACCACAAAAATCTCTTTCCTTTATGAACAATCCAGCCTCAGGTATTCCTTTATAGCAACACTAAAGGGACTAAGAATCTTATGCCTCATGTTCATAAAGCAACAAATAACTAAATTTGAGTATACACTATGTTCTCATTAATATACTATTATATTTTATTGTAACTCTTTTGTAATATATGAAAATACATTTATGTTCTCATTATAAAGATAAAGGAATTAAGAATCAAGGATTAGCTAATGTTTGTAAATTACATCTCATGGAACTGGAAAATGCAAAGTCCAATTGAGGTGTAAATGGATAAGAATGTAAATACATGAGCTTTCTACTACTCAGCATTGCCTCAAAATTGAAGACCAAAGGTATAATATCAGTTCTTTACTACATATGCTGGCTTTCTAATGACCTTTTCTCAACTCTAGAATTGGGTGGAGGTCTTCCTAAAAGTCTGAATTATCCATTAAAATTATAATTGCTGATAATTACCCATTCTACAGTAATAAACACAAATATTTTTTAAATTGTTATAATAAAAAGTATGCTATATTGACAAGATTTAAAGATTAATAACCATAAATGAAAATATTTTGAAAGTTTATAATAAGCTCAATCGTGTCAAACATAAACTATTATATACCAAAATGCTCAGTTTCACACAATGATTTAATAGTTTTAAAATATGATATTTGCATATGATAGTTATGTTATAGATTTTTATTTGTTTTGGATCACATATTCATCCAAAAGGGGCATGTGATATTCTGCTTTACACCTATATGCCCCTTTATTTTTTCTTTCTGTTAATACTCCCTAGTAAGTTGTTTTTATTTATTTACTTTTTTAAAAATTTCAAAAATATTTCATTGTTTCAAAATGAGTAATTCACATGATTCGCCATTCTATGGCTAAAGAAAAGAATTCACTCCAAAACTCTGTCATCATGTTAAGAGAATTCATTACAAATAACAAATGGCAATTAGTTAAATTCATCAAAAGTTATAGATGAGCAATCTGTTTGACATATTTTAAAATGAAACTGGACTGCATAGCACTTGCTGAGAGTTTGCCTTGGATAATGAACTGAGCTGAGAAGCTGCCAATATACATAATAAAACATACAAAATAGATTTTGATAAAGTCTCTCCTTTTCTAGTAGCTAATACGCTTTGAAGGCAGGTTGAATTCCCTCTATATCCAAGGCATCATAATTTATACTTGTATGGTGATTACCCTTGTGTTCATAAATATTGAATAACTAGTTCACAACTAAGATATAACACATTTATGACATCAGCATTTATGATTTTTGTATTGCATGAGTTATCTTTTGTTCAGCCCAGCTATAGGCAGGCTGAGAAATGAACAGAGCTTGCCTGACATTATTCAGGTAATATATGTTGGAGGTGGGTTAAAAGCCAGGTAGCCTGACTGCATTTTCCTATTAATCACTACAGTATATAATACAGCATCAAATACAGCATCCTGTCATTTGAGAACAGGAGAAAGAAAAAAACTAATTTCAAATTTTCTCAAAATTGATTTTAACTCATTCCCATAGACTTTATATAATTATTCTTTCCAAAGGTTTGAAATAATAGAGTAGAAATCTATGCATCCAGACAGATTTCACAGCAGTCACTGCATGCAGATAAAGGCAACAGACCTCAAAGACCATGTTACACCTTATAATTATTTTCTAAGAATAACTCAATGGTTGTGATGGGATAAATTTATTTCTAAGTTCATGTTTTGAGATTGTAGATAAAAATAGTCATAATATAAGAGGTAAGATAAAAAAAGGTAGTGAAGAATATATTGCATTCAGAGAAAATATTTATTATAAGCTAAATTCATTTGTGACAAAGAGAAATGTTTGCTTGTAAATATTGGCTCAATTTTGTATTGCTTAGAGACAGAAGACCCATGCACATTCTAAGTTCAATGTGAAGATATCCAGTGTGAAAATTTTCCCTAAAATAAAGCTACTATTAGAAAACAGCAGTGGTCCCAATTGTTCTGGACTTTGGATTACTAAAGAGGGAATGAGCTTAAGAAACATATTTTAATGTTTACTACAAATTTTTGCCATGTATAGGTTGGAAAATAGACTAAAAGAGGTAAAGGAAAACACTACACTATAGCCACTACAAGAGGCAGGTCTACAGGAATTGCTTTATTATGAAAATAGTATAACTGCAAGAAAAGGGCAGGAAAATAAATCTTCCAGCGTCTACCATGGCCAATATTTTGAACAATACCTATTTATTTATGTTTTGCTATAGCCCTTCATTAAAATATTGTTTCCAAGTCAGAGAAATTTGACAACATAAAGCAATTTAACATTATCTACAGATTCCTGTGCTCATTCGCTTGATGCTGTATTCAGGTGTTTACAATGTTTTAAGCTAGCACTGGGTTTTTGACAGCTCATTCCCATGTAGCACTCCAAGAGTTTATGTTCAGGGGAATACAGAAATCTTGCTTAATTGTCTACTACATTTGTGCAGAAGGAATATCTAAGCACAAAGCTTTTTTGTTCTTATTTCTATCGTGACAATGAAATGGTTAAAATGTTTTATTTTAGTAATTATTTTGGTACATTTTAGAAATTATTGTCTAGGACTTAGGATGTTTTTCAGCATCCTAACATGTTGCCTACGGCTTACGTACATTATATAAATTTATACACGTGGCAAATAAGGAACATGTTTTCAAATATAGAATTAAAGAAACTTACTCTTTTTCCAGGAGGTCCTGGTGGGCCAGCCTCACCAGATGGACCAGGAGGACCCTATAAAATGTGAAAAATATCTTTTAAGAAATAAGGTATTATTTTGTAGCCCACATAACTTTTCAAAATCTAGACTGAAACCAATTTTTTTTTTCTTCATTTCCACCCACTTATCTCTCTGGGAGAATCTCAGCCCTATTTCAGATACCTAAACTTTCTCTAGATATCTATAGTTAGAACTGCTAAATTAGGGTAAAATTCCTCATAGCTAGAAGAAAGAGGAATCAAATTCCCTTTAGGCAAAAACTTGTCCTTTTAGAAAGTGCTAAGGTATATTTGGCAAACATCCAACATATATGCTAATTAATATAATCATATGACCAATAATTCTAATCATATTACAATAAATCTGTGAAACTGTAACAGTTATTATCTCTAAATTTCTTGTACAACACTAGCATTTTTAGGATAGGGTGTATATGGTATGTTGGGATATGGTCCACAAGTCTTACCTCTACAGAATAAGCCTACATCTCTGACTACCAAGATACAGAGACAAAATTCTATTCAGGAGACAGTTGTTTTTGGCTTTCACTTGAGTTAGTACCCTCTTTTCTTCCCAGTGGTCAAAGCAGACTGCTGTGTCATTCCCAAATTGAACATTTTTTTAAAAGGCCTATTCTAGGCTGAATTCATATATGTTCATAATTGAAGCAATTCATGCTTATGACAGACTAACTTGACTTTCTTCCTTTCAGTATTAAATTTGTGGCCTGAATATAACTTTTTTTATTTAACACATATGGCTAGATACAATCTGAAATAGTATGACAAAATCTTTGGTATGATAGGACTATATTTTTATTATAAAAACTTTGCTTATATTTCTCAATCTACATCATCAGGTAAGAAATATATAAGATTGGTTTTTAACTGGATTTCAAATATTTTTGCTAATTAAGAAAAATATGTATACTGACACAGTTGTGCTTTTTTTAATCATCCCTGATTATTTCTTTAAAATGCCTGGAGACTATGAAAAGATTTAAAAGATAATTTATAGTGTGTTGACTTACCGGTTGCCCAGGGTCTCCATCCTCACCCTTGTCACCACCAACACCATCTTGACCCTATAATGAGCAACAGAAAATCAGCCAAGTTATGCTATTTATTTGTTTTTCTGAGAGTAAAAGGTATGGTAGACGACTGAGATAGATTATTATCAGATGGACAAAGAAAATTATTATATTATTGTATTTTTTAATGATTATGATACCTCCCACTCCCTCTGTAAAGATTTGTGAAATGACTACTATATCAAACTAAAAATATAGTATGCTCTTCATAGAATAAGATATAATCAGTGTACAAGGGAGTGCATCCTTTCACATAAACAAATATGGTGCAGATTGAAATGGAATTTTCATCATAGAAGAGACAGAGAAAAGCAAAGATCCCATAACTTTAAAATAATAAAAATGCTGCCACTCAGATAATGAATTTGTACAACCTATCAAAGTCTATGAAATGAATCCAAATGAAGAGTGTCATCATGCAACCTAGGTGTAAAAGTTTCTGATTATATGGATTTTCTTGTAGTTGCAGTTTCTGTGTTTTCTTTTTTCTCTCTGTTTTGGAAGGCTACTTAAGCAATTCAGAATTTTCATGAATTATTAGTAATAGAGACATCAACGACATCTCACCAAAACCATCCTTTTATTTTCCCATGAGACTTACTGCAGGGCCAGGCTCCCCAGGAGGACCAGGATCTCCAGGAAAACCAACAGGACCCTAAAATGATGATTTTAAAGGAAAAGAAATACAAGCAAAATGAATTTTTATAAAGTTATTATATTCTGAAGTTCAAGAGGTTAAAGTCACAGCAAAATCTGGTGACAATGTTTCTATTCTGCTAGAAAATTTCTAAACCATGAAATCAAGGGAGAATGCCTATGAATATATAAAGTGATAAAAAGTAAGATTCATGGAAATGGGCCAGAGTTTCATGATTCCTAATCTCTCTAAAAAAAAAAAAAATTGACCTCCCAAATGACCCAACAATCCCCCTACTGGGACTATATCCAGAGGAACTCAAAATCACTCTATGAAAAAGATACCCACACACGCACATTTTTTGCAGCATAATTCACAATAGCAAAAACCTGGAACCAACTCGCTGCCCATTGAAATAGGACTGGATAAAAAAGGTGGTACATATACACGATGGAATATTACACAGCCATATAGAAGGACAAAATTATGAACTTCACAGCAACTTGGATGAACTTAGAGTCTCTAATACTGAGTGATCTATCACAGAAACAAAGAACTGAGTACCACATGTTCTCACTTATAAGTGGACCTTTAACAACTTTCTTAATACTGTAAGAAAGGGACTGGCAGTAGTGGGAAACTGCCAGGGGAGGGGGGTACACCTCATCAACAAGGTACCTGCATAATGAACGTTTGTATATCTGACCCTGAATTGTACCTCACATCCTTAAAATAAAAGAAAAACTCCAAAGTGAGTTTGTCACAAATTCCTTTTTTTAATCTATCATCTATCTATCTGTCTATCTATCTATCTATCTATCTATCTATCTATCTATCTATCTATCTATCTATCTATCTATTTTATACAGACAGTGTCTCATTCCATCACTCAGGCTGGAGTGGCATGATCCTGGGATCAGGCAATCCTTCTGCCTAGGCCTCCAAGGTAGCTAGTACTATAGGCATGTGCCACCACACCAGCTATTTTTCTTTTTCTTTTTTCTTTTTTTTTTAGTAAAGACAAAGGTCTCACTGTGCTGCCTAGGATGGTCTCAAACTCCTGGACTCAAGTGATCTTCCCGCCTCAGTCTCCAAAAGCACTGGGATGCTAGAATGACAGGCATAAGCCACCATGTTCAGCCAAATTGCACCTTAAAGGGGACCAAACTCACCGGGTTACCCTTAGGGCCATCGTCACCTGGTGGCCCCTTAGCACCAGGGGGTCCAGCAGCTCCAGGGGGACCAGCTTCTCCTTTCTCTCCTCTTTCTCCTTTGGGACCCTACACAATGTAAGGAAAAGAGGAGTTAGATCTCAGGCTTTAAATCAGAGTTTCTCAACCTTGGCACACTGACTAAGACGATTCTTTGCTGTGGATACTATCCTGTGCACTGTGAGACATCTAACAGTAAACCTGGCATTTACAAACTATGTCACCCACAATTACCCCTCCAAGTCTGAGAACCAGAAATGTCTCTAGATGTCATCAAACATTCCCTGGGAGGCAACTTCACTCCCAGTTTAAACTAATATATGTTGTACTAATACAGTCCTATTACAAATCATAAATTGAATTGTTTATTTAAGGCAGCAGCGTTTTTTGTTTGTGTGTTCCTTTAATGGACAGTTCACCAAAGAGACTGTATACAGTAAAGAGTTTACGGTTTTCATATTCTTACTTATGCAAACATACACACACATATGCATATATTCAATTTGTATATGAATAAGTATATACAGAGGATATGTACAGCTCTTAAACAATAAGGTTCTGCACATGTGATTATTCATAATGGATTGAAAAGGGAAAGCAAAACACTGAATGACAGTCAGGGGTTAAGCCACAAATTTAAAATGCTCGAAAATAAATGCCAAAACCAACGGCATGATATATGGATAAGAGGATAGAACTTACCCCGGTGCCTGCTTCCCCAGGAGGGCCTGGGTTCCCTGATTCCCCAGGTTCACCCTGTGAAGAAAAGATTAAATGAGTATTAGAACACAGAGATGCTTCTTTACATATGTAAAACTGCCTTTGGTTACAATTGTACGATTTTAGATTAGCCCTTCAATTATATAAGGTAAAAGATATCGACGCCGGGCTTGGTGGCTCAGCCTGTAATCCCGCGCCTTTGGGAGGCTGAGGTGAGTGG